AGGGCCCTGGGACTGGGTATTCCTTCAAGACACAGAGGCTAAATATAGCTGAGCCTGAACAAAGGGAGAGAGCAGGAGGAGGAAATCCAGAGTACGGGATGGGACACCAAAGTTCCAGAGCTCGGCCAAGATAACAAGAGGGAACGCTAGGAAGTTATGGAAAGTGGAGAGGGCAGCAGACGGGGCTGTTCTGTGTGGTACAGGACAGGGAGAGGAGATCAGGAGTAGAGGACATACCTGAGGACACTGTTTGCTTCCCACTGGAGACATTTGAGGTCATTTACAAAGTCTGAATTGATTTCCGGTTGAACAGGCAATGCAGGATGGTTCAACATGAGTCCAGGACTTTGCAAATGTATTACTCAGACACTAGCTGCTGTATGATCCTCTCTCTTGTACCACGTCTCCCTCACAGCCTGGAGTAAAGGACGTTTTACATCACAGCTGACAACTAATCTTGATGTTGGGATGAGCCTCAAAGGCCTGCGTTGGGCCTGAGCTTTGTAAAAATATAGAAATAACTGTGCAAATGGGTGTTGACTAATTTGACTGGTTTGATGTTCAAAGGTACGAAAAGGTATCAATTGAGAAACCTTCCACTACACATTGACCCCAGAGACAGTCACTGTGACTGGTCTTGTACTGGGACTTCCAGAAATTCTGGATGCCTATTACAAACATACACATCTCCTTTTCACACAGAAAGAGGCTTGTCGGACACCTGTCCTGTGTTCTGCTTTGTCACTCCTCAGGGTGTGTGGGGGGATTATATCAGTGTGTGGAGGTTTTGCATCCTTCTGTACAATGCATAGCCCTTTGTGGGGGCACCATAATCTCCCCACCTGGTGGGCATGTAGGTTGTTTCCAGTCTCGACTGAATAACCTCAGACATAGCATAGACTCCATGATGCGGGATTTCGTTGGCTTAACTGCTGCCGTCCCAAGTACCTCGGACACTGTGGAGTTGACACTTAGGCTTTTATATGTGCTCAGTATAAATTCTAGGAAACAGACTTACTGGGTTGAAGGACCTATAAGTTCATTATTTTGATAAGTATTATTAAAGCAACCCTCATAGAAGCTGGACCACTTTACTTGCCCACTGGTAATGTTGAAGGGTGTCTATTTTCCTAAGCTCACAGCGTATGATTAAAATTTTGAATCTTTGATGGGTGAAGAGTGGCTTAACTTCCATTTCTCTTATTAGGGTAAAATTGAATGACAGATTTTTAAAAAAAAAATTCAATTGAACAAGTGTTTATATGGATCCGTTTCTATGTGCTAGATAGTGTTCTAACTGATAGGAGTAGAGCGGTGAATGAAGGGGCACCTGTCACTGGATTCGGGCCCATCTAGATAATCCAGGACCAGCTCATCTCAACATCCTTACCTAATTGCATCTGCAAAGACCCTATTTCCAAATAAAGTTGGTCACATTCACAGATCCCAGGTCAGGACATGGCCAGATCTTTCTGGGGGCTACCATTTAACCCTACGGGGGTAAAGCTGCTGGTGCCCAGCACTGAGCAGACTGTGCCCCCAAAGTAGCAGCACCCACCACGTTCCTTAGCACCATGTGCTCAGCGTGAAAAAAGAGAGGGAAGAGGGAAAGGCCTGTTCTTGTAATGAATTTCCTGAGTAAAGCAATAAAAAGGGATGTTATCAAACCTTGACCCTTGAATCTGTCGAATAAACATAGTTTTAATATTCTGTATCCTAGAATCCCAGGATGTCCTAAGGGAGCTTGCAAGCCCCTGAATCAGGGGCTCATCAGTGAAGCCGCTGGGTCTGGGACACAGCATACCTGAATTTTCACTGGGTAAAGACCATATATGGCCAAAATATAAAAGGCAAATAGTAGTGTATGTGTGGTCTTGACCCAGCAATTTTGCTATGGGGAGTTTTATCCAAGGCCATAAAGACAAGTCTGCAGTCGTCAAAGGTGCAAGGGAAACCGGTGGGGAGGGACAGATCTGCTCAGCAGTAGGGTTTGGTTGCATCACCAAAGGCATCGCCCGGACAACACTGTGAGCAATTAAAAAGGATTTTTTTTAAATTTTTATTTATTTACTTGACAGAGAGAGACACAGTGAGAGAGGGAACACAAGCAGGGGGAGTGGGAGAGGGAGAAGCAGGCTTCCCGCAGAGCAGGGAGCCCGAAGGCAGATGCTTAACCACTGAGCCACCCAGGCGCCCCCTCACTAGACTTTTTAATCAAAAGTATGGGTTGAGCTTGGTACTCTTCCACAGGAAGGAAATGGTTGTCTTGACTTTGACTTGTGACTAACAGGTAGTATTGTCACTGGACCTAGACTTCCCACTAACCAGGTCAGAAGCCAGTTGCATCTAGTTGCTGCTGCCTAGAGCCCTGGGAAAAGTTGATCAGGTTTCTCTTCTAGGGGATTCATGCCTCATATCTGATTCCTGGTTTAAAAGCAGCTCTTCAGGGCGCCTGGGTGGCTCAGATGATTAAGCATCTGCCTTCGGCTCGGGTCGTGGTCTCAGGGTCCTGGGATCGAGTCCCGCATGGGGCTCCCCGCTCATCGGGGAACCTGATTCTCCCTCTCCCTCTGCCTCTCTCTCTTTCTCTCTCTGTCTCTTATGAATAAATAAAATCTTAAAAAAAAAAAGAAGCAGCTCTTCGGCTCCTGGTCTCCAGCTTGGAATCCTGCTCACTGCTACCACCACCCTGAGGCCATGTCAGGCTTCTTCCTCACCGTAGGCCCATTGCTATGTCTCATCCGACACTTTCTGCGAGGATGGGTGGGTAAATGACCTAGGAGGATAAAAGATAGTTTCTATGAACATCTAGAGAGCTGACTGTTGCTTTTGCTTCCTCATTTTGGTCATGGCTAAGGGGACAAAGCTTCAGATGTCAAGAGATAAGTACTCTTTTGGTGTACTGATTTGGTTTAATTTCCCTTATTCTATTTTGCATAATCAAAGCATTGTAAATCTTAGAATTTAAAAATAAATTACTTAAGAAAAAAAGGAACAAAAATGAAATAAGTAGAACCTAACTTTTATAATTTTCAGTAAAACCTCTGTGTTCTGAATTTTGCTGGCTGATGTCTTGGAAAGTGCACAGGGATCCCCGAGGAAATGATCAAGGCCAGATCAGAAAAGCGATGATCCTCTTACACAGGTGAACTCAAGGGCACTGGTCAGCCAGGTGTGAGGCATCACCCCAAAAGCCCCCTCATCAAATGGGATCCTGCAACCATGGGGTCAATTAGGGAAATTTGAGATCCTTGAAGAATAGGGAAGGTTCCAGCTTCTTGCTACAACCTAACCAGCTTCCAATTATGGTGATGGTCCTCAGGATGCTCCCGCCACCCAGGAGTGGAGGGGTGAACCAGCCTACAGTGGCAGCAATGACCCTAGTTTCTGAAGACCTACATGACCAGAGGTGTTGTGAATGGAAGTCCTTCTCCTGGAATCTGAAAGCAGAAAACATCCCTTGTGTGGGTCCATCAGGAATAACCTCACTATGCTGGGGGAGGACAGTTCCCAGATCACATACACCTGGCACTGTGTGACTGAGTCAGGGACTTCCCTAAACCACTGTGTCGATGGGATTGTTTCTCCATAAATAAGACTCTGCACAGAAGGTTTCTTGCTGCTATTGTCCTAAGGCAGACCTTGAAATTTGAAATTTCTCACTTACCTCAATTGATAACCACGGGGCGGGGGTTTGGGGGGGGGGTAAGGAGTAAAGACCTGACAGAAGATTAACCTGAGTCCTAGGTTCTTTGCACAATTTATTCAGAACATAGCATATCTCCCCCACCCCCAGCCTCCGTTTTCCTTCCACAAAGCACCAAATGCTGTATTTCTTTTGGCTGTATAAACTTGGAGAACTGATAGTTGCCCAGCTACTGAACGTAAAGACTTTTGGCACAGTTCATCTTTATCAAACTCCTTTCTGATTGAAGATTAACAATCCAGATGGGATGATCTGACACTAGGGCCTCAGGTGACAGCCTACACCCAGTCCTCATCCCCCCTCCCCAAGGCGAAGTTGTCACCTTGTTGTGGTTTCTATACTCCGCTGTTCAGAATCACTAGGGAACGTCCTTAAACCAGTCACAGAATCTCCCTCCGTGGAGCCTTCCCCCCTTCCCAGGGCTCCAGGCTTGGGACCAACTGCCTCACTGACATTTACTTTCCGGTTGCATTCTGGCCCTGCTATCCTCACCTGATACAGCTATGGCTCAAAAGGTCTTAGGATTTGCCAGAATAAAGTTCCCCGTGTGCCTGATTGCCGCCCCTCCCGTGAGTGAGCTGGCCTGGAATGAAGGCTCATTCAAAGGGGCGTTGCATGAACATAGGTGAATTACGCCGCTCCTTGTTTTTCCTGGAGACACTCGAGCATTTAATTCAGACGTGGGTCTCCTGCTGGACAGGGTCCTTTATCAAGTGTTCATAGCGCAGGGTTCCCTGGCTCACGTTACCCTATGGTAAGTGACCTCTTGAGGTCACCTTGCCAGCCGGTCTCCCACAGAGGCCACTGCAGGTATCTGCTCCTCCGAACCAAAGTCAGATGTGTGGGGGGTGGGGGGTGGGTTCACAGGCCTCTTGACTCCCCCTCGCATTCCAGCCTCAAAAGTGCCTGAGGTCCCCCAATGACTGCAGTGTCTTCGGCTGGATGTCGGCTTACAAATGCGTAAGAGAGACTCGGGAGCGCGCCTCCATTTGGCCCCGGCTCTGCGCTCCCCCAACCTCCCCCCAACCTTCCTCTCCCGCCCTGCGCCCCTCACCCACCTGGCTCTGCGCAGCACCCCGCCCCCGCCTTCTTCTCCCCACGAACCCGCACCTCTCCCACTCCGCCTGGTCCTGGCCCTTGGCTCGCCCCTCGCCTTCCCAGCTTCCCTCACCACCCGCCTCCCCGCCCCCCCGCCCCCTGCTCTGCGCCCCCAGCACCCTCCCCTCCCCCCTCCGTCCCCCCGCCCCCCCGTCCCTCCTTCGCCAGCCCCACCCTCACCTGCGGCCGCTCCGCGGGGCGGGGCCGCCCGAGGATGACAAAGCAGCGGCCGGCGGCGCGGGACCCGCCCCCCGCGCTCGGCGGGTGCGTCGGCCGCCCCGGCGCGGCTGTTATGGAAACCGGCCGGGCGCGCAGGAGGCGATAATGGGGCGGCCATGGCCCGGGCCGGCAGCTCCGGCGGCGACGCGGCCGCTGGGGAGCGGGCCGGGGGCGCGGGGCGGCCCGAGCCGTGGGAGCTGTCCCTGGAGGAGGTGCTGAAGGCGTACGAGCAGCCCATCAACGAGGAGCAGGCGTGGGCCGTGTGCTTCCAGGGCTGCCGCGGGCTGCGGGGCGCGCCGGGCGGCGGGCGGCGCATCCGGGACACGGCGGACATCCTCCTGCGCCGGGACGGCTCGGTCAGCGCGCGGCGGGAGCCCGGCGCCGCGGGTGAGGGCCCGCGGCCGCGCGGGGGTGTGGCCGGGCGCGCGGGCCGCGGCGGGGGTGGGGGTGGGGGGCGGTGGCGACCCTCCCGTCCTTCGCGTCCTTCCCGTCCTTCCCGTTGCTCCTCTCCCTCTTCTTCCTCTTCCCTCCTCTTCCCTCCTCTCCCTCCTCTCCCTCCTCTTCCTCCTCTCCCTCCTCTCCTTCCTCTTCCTCCCTCTTTCTTCCTCTTCCCTCCTCTCCCTCCTCTCCTTCCTCTTCCTCCCTCTTTCTTCCTCTTCCCTCCTCTTCCCTCCTCTCCCTCCTCTCCCTCCTCTCCTTCCTCTTCCTCCCTCTTTCTTCCTCTTCCCTCCTCTCCCTCCTCTCCTTCCTCTCCTCCTCGGTCCTCTGCTTCGGCACCCTCCCTCCGCTCGACCCGGAGCCCCCATTCTGCACCCTCCTCCCTTCCTGGAACCGGCAACCATTCCACACCCTGGCTCTGCTCGACCGGGAAGTCCCATGCTTCTCCCCATCCTTCTCTTTCTCACCCGGCCTGGGATACCCCCTCCCTTTCCTGAGCCCTTCTAACCCTGACCATCCATATCTCAACGTCGTCTCGGCCGGCTGCTGTCAGTCGGCTGCCTGCAGTTGGGCAGGTTTTCCTCTGGGGAGAAGGATTTTGGTTTTTGATGGCTGAGTACCTTCAGTAGACCCAATTCTCTGTCTCCTATATCCAGTTCTCCCCACCTGGGGCTAGTTCCTTCTGCTTTGGGGGTGTGTAGCCCTCCGTCTTTTGTGATTCATGGTGAGAAATGCTTGGTGCACTGGTAACTGCAGATGCCTTTGGCTGGAAGGGAACAAGTGTCCTCTAGAAGGTTTTTTTTGTGGGAATGCGGGTGGGAGGAGGGGGCTGTGTCTCCCTTGGAATCCCTGCAAATTCACCAGTTGCCTGGGTTTAATAGTAAGGAGAATGTGTAAAGTTTAGGGGATTGCCTGCTTGGTTTTTCTGCTCTTAATCATCAAGAACGAACAATTAATCCCTTGAAAGATACCGAAGTCTACTGAAAATAGTGAGTTTAAGTGATTTTTATGCTCTTTCTTAGGGGAAAAAAAAAGTGTTTTCTTTCCTGGAGAGCTGGAGTGCTAGTCTGGAGCATTTGGTGATATTAACCCAAAAACTGATACCCTGTGGGGAAGCACAAAGGCCGGCTATGTGTGCTGGTGGAGAGCTGGGCGGAGAGCTGGGCCTTCTCCAGCCCTGAGAGCCGTGGGTTTGGAGAGGTCCTCATGGGCCGGCTTCATGGAGGACAGGGAAGGAGCGGGACAGAGAAGCCACAGCTGCCGTGGTGACAGGGAGGGTCTGCTGAACCCGCCAGGGACCATCACTGTATTTCTCCACAGAGTGCTTCTCACCCCTGTGACCAGCTCCTTTCTCTGTCTACAACTCTGCTACAAGACATTTGCACGTTTCTGTATTTCACCCAAAGAGCACCAACATATTTGATAGGTGAAAATAATAAGAGTTGGTACTTAAATGGTATCATTCCCATTTTATACTCGGTTAAGCTGAGGCTCAGGCTTGTCCAGAGTCACACAGAAAGAGGATTTGGATTCAGCCTCATACTCTTTTTTTTTTTAAGATTTTATTTATTTATTTGACAGAGAGAGACACGGCGAGAGAGGGAACACAAGCAGGGGGGGTGGGAGAGGGAGAAGCAGGCTTCCCATGGAGCAGGGAGCCCGATGCGGGGCTCGATCCCAGGACCCCGGGGATGATGACCTGAGCCGAACGTAGACGCTTAACGACTGAGTCACCCAGGCACCCCCAGCCTCATACTCTTGATGGCTGTGTGCAAGGTCTTCACAGGTGGGGCTGAGAGTATTTCCCCTGGGGGGCCTAGATGCTGCATGTTCACAAAGAGGTTTTCTCCTCCCTGTGTCCATCCCCATCCCTGGAGATAACAATGTGACCCAGGACCTGGCTCCTTGCACCACGGAGTGGGATAGGACTGTAGGGGCCTGCCTGGTCAGACCCTCTGATTTTAAAGATGGGAAAATTGAGGCACAGAGTGATAGCTGGTTAGAACTAAGGGCCCCTGCATCACTCTAACTGTGGGGGAGTCACACCTTATTGGTACTCTCCAAAATGCACCTTGACGGCTATCCTTCATGTTGGTGGTCACCAGGTTCTCTCCAGTCCCCAGGGATTGGACTCCTATTTCCTCCTTCTCCTGCCTGCATGCCCACAGCCCAGTTGGGAATCCAGGCTGGGGTTTAAAGCTCACACGTGGCCATTCTAGGGGACTTACTAGTCCAGGACACGAGGGAGCCCAATTCCATTTTTCATTGAATACGATCTTTGGTTTCTGTTCATAAACATGTCTCATAAAGGTGGAAGAGGTTTATGACTTGCTGTCTCTTTAAAGATTAAGAAAAATAGGGCGCCTGGGTGGCTCAGTGGGTGAGGTGACTCTTGATCTCAGCTCAGGTCTTGATCTCAGGGTTCTGAGTTCAAGCTTCTCATTTGGGTTCCATGCAGGGCGTGGAGCCTACTTAAAAAAATAAAGACTAAGAAAAATAGATTACGCTGAACTTAAGCTGTCAAGCTTTCATGAGTCAGCTGAAACTTTAGTCTCTCAGCTGCGGCTAACCCAGCATTTCTCTGGGACTTAAATGAGTGGTGAATTCACGAAGGGTATGTGTTTATTTCTTGCTGTGAATAGCAATCAGGAAAATCTGGATCATTAACATTGCCTCACGTGGGCCCTCAGTACAAAGTTCTGGTAAATCTAGCATTAAATAAATGTTTAAAATAACTTTAAAGAGGGGCGCCTGGGTGGCTCAGTCGTTAAGCATCTGCCTTTGGCTCAGGTCATGATCCCAGGGTCCTGGGATGGAGCCCCACGTGGGGCTCCCTGCTCAGCGGGGGGCCTGCTTCTCCCTCTCCCACTCCCCCTGCTTCTGTTCCCTCTCTCACTGTCTTTCCCTGTCAAATAAATAAATAAAATCTTTAAAATAAAATAAAATAACTTTAAAGAAATCAACAAAACTAAGCCACCTTTGGGGGAATGATTAATATCGTAGTATACAAGGTGTGGTACCTCTCCCTTTTTCCAGCTAAGTGGGGAAAAAGTCCTAACCTTTAGTCTGAAGACTTTGTAGTTGCTGGAAGCCCCCCACCTTTTTTTTAAGTGGAGAAAATGTGTTAAAATGTGAAGTTATTTTTTTTTAAAGATTTTATTTATTTATTTGAGAGAGAGAGAACACCTGAGAAGGGATAGGGTCAGAGGACGAAGCAGACTCCCTGCCGAGCAAGAAGCCCGATGCGGGACTCGATCCAGGGACTCCAGGATCATGACCTGAGCTGAAGGCAGTCGCTCAACCGACTGAGCCACCCAGGCGCCCTGTGAAGTTATTTTTAAGAGGCCATTATTAAAACCTCTTGATGGGGACAGGGTTACTTTTTTTTTTTTTTTTAATTAGGAGAGAAACTCAGTTGGACATCACAGTGAATGCCTGTGCCCAGCTGTTCCCTGAGGCGAAGCTAATTCCCTGAACGCAGCTGGGTCAGTGATCCAGTGACCCTGGGGTGCTTTCAGTGGCATTTGTCCCCTTGATGCCCTCCTGGGCAGTTCACCCCAGGAGAATGACTGCTCCCCAATGCAGTGTTTGGCTGTCCCCTTGATGGAAAGACCACCTGCCTTTCTGGCCTACGACTGCTGATGAAGCATTTCAAGGAAACCCCCACGGACAGGCCAAGTCTAGGCATGAGTGTTGGCAAAGATGTGTCTGAGATGGGGGTGAGCTCATCACCTCCCACCTTGCCCGTTCTGCTTATGCTAATTCACACACTGCCCCACTTTTCTGATTTTTTTCTTTGTAAGGCTTGATGCTACAGCTTTTCACAGGCCCTGCTCTTCAGCTTGGGTGCCTCACGTGATCTGCCGACCGGGCCCTCCCTGTCCCTCCAGCCCCTTCCTGCTCCTCCTTCTGCGTGGAGTTCAGAGGCCAGCTGCCCCCATGACCCCCAAAGCCCTGGCACCTGTAAGCAGGGTAAGGCTCTTTAAGCGGCCCACCGCTGCACAGACTCCACGCATTTTCAGCCCTGAGTTTCAGACACAGAAATGATTAATATAGTCCGTCCTGTATTGGATGGTGTCATCCTGTGTCATGAGCTCCATGGGGCCCAGAATTCTTTCTCACCTCAGCTCAGTAGCTGGAGAAACAGCAATGCTCAGGAGCGGGCTTTGGCATCTCACCAGTGGCCCGTTCCTCCTCCCTAGACTGCAGTGATGGGAGCACATGCCCGGGGACAGGTCGGGACTAGTGAAGGAGCATCAGGACAGAGCCCCGGGCCCAGGAAGTGTGTGTGTGTGCACAGACTCACACAATACACACGTGGATGCCCGCACAGACCTACAGGCATACAACACACACATGCACACACACACGCACACAGACACGTGGATGCACACATACACACCTGCGTGCGCACACACACGTGCGCGTGCATGATGCCCCTGCCTCTGGTGGTCTCTCTGAGGTACCCCACGCGTGCACATGGGCTGCCTGTCCCCCGCTGGAGATGTTCTTTCAGGTCTCCCGGCCCAGCGTGCCTTCTCCCAGGAGCTGAGGTGGGGTCCACGGCCACCAGGAATGGCTCTGGGCCACTGGTGCTCTGGGAGGCCCTGCTAGTCCTGTGGGCTCCAGGGGTTCATCTGGACTTGGTGGGCCTCATGGGGAGGTCCCCTTCTGAGTGACTGGGGATTGTTTTTAGCTTGCCGGTGTTTTTAAATGGCTCTCCACACAGGTGAATGTGCAGGGATGGTGTCCCCTGACAGGCTGGGCAGAAGTGAGAGCTGGTTGGAAAGATGAAATCCTGCTTCTGGAGCAGAGAATATTTCCCTCCTGGCAGGCCTCCTCACAGAATATTTCTGGTTAAAACATTTTCTTTCCATCAGGTCCCGCCCATGTGGTTTTTGTTCTGGCTTCTTGACTCCTCCCCAGCGCTGCTGGTGCTATCCATCCTT